TTCAACTAATGCTCAAATATTGCGAAATTTTTGATGTTACGGGTCTACCTGGATTGTGAATCTTGAGGTTTTCTGTGTAGCTGCTGAGGATGCTAATGCATAATCTATGATAGATTGATGCAGATGTTGGCCCATGTCTCGTTGGTAAGTGAATTTCTCTTCTCTTATTCCCTTCCATTTCATCGGGTTTAGGCAGTACAGATCGTTGTTTGATGCAAAATCTACCACCAACTTTCCGTTGTTGTTCGCTGGGTGTGGATAGTTTGAAAATTGGAAGTGAGCACCTGATTCAATTCTTGCATTGAAGTCACCTAAAATGACGACTACATACCCCTTAGACTCCAGCTCAGATTTCTCTTTGGCTATATGCTCCAGTAGAGATTTGTTTGAATTGTAGAATTCTGAAGATTTCGGGCTCTCAACTCTCAGGTACAAACCACAGCAAGCAATTCTGTCATGGCGGTCGTCAATAGTGACCCACGCTCTCTCACTCTTCATCCAATCTGGTGTGTTTTTGAGACCATTCCAAGGTAGTATTGCTTTACCGGTTCGTTGACGTGACCACATAATAATTCCTCCTGTCTGATTGTTCTCTCTTAGGTGTTCTGTGTATGTGAATTCATCTATTTCCAAGTTCACTGAAGACATTCCTTGTTGGTGCTTGGCTTCTGACGCAAAGATAAACAAAAGGTTTGGTGTGTTGAGAGCTATGCTGGCGATTTCGTTTACTCGGTCTTTGGACAAACCATCGACATTACAGTAGATCCCACAGAACTCCGCTGTCATGGTTATAAAAAGCTCGTTTTCTGAAATATATAAAATATTATTCTCAATTTAATAGTTAGATAACATAAAGAATCACGATGTTATACATAATTTTTACTCTTGTTTAATAATTCGATGATATATGATTTTAGAACAATTCAAGTTTGTGTTAGATTATAAAAAAGACGTTTATGGAAAATTGTATTTTGAAATTAGTTGGCTGCACAACACGGGATAAAATTATTATACGAAAATGTATTAAAGTTCTATCTAATTTATAAGCATGATTAGTAATTTGACGTTAGGTAGCAGTTGGTTATACGAATATGTGAGTAGGAACTTATTTCAATGAGGTTGGATAATTAAAGTAAAAGTATCAAGCGAGAAATTGGACTGTTAATTGTGACCAAATGCTAGCAAAGGTTAATTAAACACAAAATAAAAAAGGCACAATGATAAAAATTGGACTGTTAATTGTAAACAAATGCTAGTAAAGATTGATTGAACACAAAAAAGGAGGCAATGATAAAAATATTAAGCAGTGGAGTTACTGGAGTTCCTGAACTCGGATAAGAATTTGGAAATGCTGTCCGAGAAATCTAGGTCTAACCCCGTTGCCGGAGATTGAGTAGGGACTGGCGAAGGTGGAGAATGTGCCGAGGGAGCTGGTGCAATGGTTATGCCTGACGAGGAAACCTGATAGTAGGGGGATTGATTTCCTCTCTTCCTTTTAACTGTAATAAGAATCTCCTCTTCCTCTGAGGAAATATTATGATGTGAAGCTAGCAGGCTGATGATTTCCTTGGCACGGTTCACTAGAGCGACAATGCTGTCCTGTGCTTTACCTAGTAAGAACATTTCCTGCTCTAAATTTCTCTCTGGTAGATCCTGCCACATACGTCCTACAAGGTTTTTAATGTTCTCTTCTACTGTTTCTCCAGAAACTTTCGAAGATTTGGCCTTTGATTTGTTAGATTTCCACTTCTCCACGAAGGCATTCTTCATTTGTGTATAAAGAAAGGACCGCTCTCTTTCAGAGGCCCCTTGTTTCTCTATTTGTTCGGTCATTTCTGCCAGGGCCAAAATTAGTTGTTTGTTTTTGACATTTTCCAACACTAATTGGGTCGATTGTAGCTCCAGAGTGGCCCGAAGTCAGATCTCTTTGTGCGACGCCTCAACAAGATCCTGCTTCAATAGTTTGGTATTGTTTTCATAGCCTTTAATTTCTTGTTTCATTGATTTCACAAGGTCCTTCTGTTCTGAGGATGATTTAATTTCTGCCTTGTGTGCCTTGAAGTCGTCGTTTAGCTTCTTGATAAGGGATTTATTATCCTGGTCTTGCTTAATTAGCCTGCTATTCTCTGTCCGGAGATTTTTAATTTCACTCCGAAGGTCTTCCTCTGACGCATCCTTGAACCTCACACACTTGGACATGACTATCTGCAATAAAAGACAATTAAATAGGCATACATATAAATAGGCGTACATATAAATAGATGCGAAATATAAAATTATTAGATGTTCATTTGGTTATTCTCAATTCGTCTCAGGAAACAAATTTAGACTACCATGCTGTGCAAAATATTGAAAAAGTGAACTATTTGAATAATTTTGATAAATATGCAAAGAATAAAAGTAAGATGATATTATGCAGGAATATATATAAACTTTTTTGAAATCTAGATATTTATTTACGTATCATTTATAGTTTACAGGATTGTTGAAAATATGAATTTATCACAAAAGTTTATTAACGAGTTATCATGTGCATACAAATATAGATAAATAAATCAATAAAGTCGGAATAGATTTTAAAAGATACATTTTTTACGTATTTTTTCCATTTCTGAATTATTTGTAAGTTTATATTCAAATATTTATAATAAAGCAGTTCGTGAGGAAAAAACTAAATTACTTATTGAAAGATAGCATACTTATCAGGAGTATTACTGTAGATATTACAAACACGGTGCGTGTTATATCTTATTAAAAAAATGCTACATTTAAGAGTGTGCATGCTTAAAAATGAACATACACGGGATCGAGTTTCCCGTTTTATTTTAACATAATAAAAATAAGAGTAGCCATCGATGGTGCATCGGCGTAGGCCGATTCTAGGAATGGGAATATAGATAATATTTAATCATGTTGCGGCTTAATTAGCAAGATGATCAGACGTAACGATTAAGAAGTGCGAACATTTATTGTTCGTTTCTAATATCTTTTACGTCAAAGAATGGAGTGAAAATATAGATCTTATTTACTCATATTGCGGCTTAATTAACGAGATGGTCCGGCGTAACGACTTAGAATTGCGAACATTGATTGTTCGTTTCTCGTAAATTATACGCCGAAGAGCAATTTTAAGAGCTCTTTAGTATTGAGGCATGTAGGTAGTGCTGTGACGTCTTCGTTCATCCTCTGCTCTTTCCGGAGGTAGTTCCGATACAACTGAACATTTAAAAGGAACTATTAATTTAATTTAAAGCATTCATTTAGTGCTTGCATTCAACTCAAATAGTATCCGGATTTTAAAAGTCATTCTTTAATAGTGCAGAGTTTTGGAATAGTAAATATGAAAAATTATTTGAGAAGAGATAAGCTAGTTGTTTAATTCCACCGTTCGGTAGTATTTCAAAAGATTGGAAAGTTTACCCCTTAATTAGTGTCACGTATAATAACTTTGCATGTATAAGATTGCTTTGTAATTTAACCGAGATCAGGTAAATAGGAAAGGAAGACGATGCAGAAAAGTTGCCAAAATCTATTTGAAACCAGACTGGATCAAGGCGTGTACCATTATAATTTAAAACTTAGATTCAATAGGGTATACTCTTTGCAGTCAGTTGTGGTCCATGTGCGAGCCCTTGTCATCTGTATAAAAGAGATATAAAATCATAAAGGGGGGGGGGCTCGTGGAAATCTATTTTTTACCGTTATTTGTTCCGCTGATTACTGTAAGTTTGAGATCCGCATGCTCCAAGATGCTTCTGGCGGTCAGCTTCTGTATATATAAACTGATGATACGCAATATTGAATAATTCGGTTTATCATGAGTAAATAAAAATAGACAGTTAATACGTGCCGTTTGAATAATACCGATAAATATGTAAAAATAATGAAAACTGGTAGTTTGGTATAAATAAGCAAATATAGGAGTAAAATGGTAAATATGCAAAAATAAGAATAGACTGATGTAAGATCATTTATATAGACCATAGATCATAAGCATATGATAAAGTTGATATTTAAGGAATTATAGTTAATAGTTCAATTAAGGGACTCATATAGCTCCATTAGCTTTTTCTCGCCTTCCGCTGCTTCCATATTTATAGAATCCAAGTTTTCTAGTGTGAGGGTGTTTGCCAATAGAGCTTGAAGTTTGGCTGTATCGAAAAGTGTCATACCCTGCATCTGTTTTTCCACCATAAAAAGTACCGCTTCGGAACTCAGGTCACCTGAGCTTGGTCTACCCCTTACAGCCAGCTCAAGTTTATGATTCAGATCGTCAATTTCTTTCCTCAAGCTTTGCACTTCTTGAAATAATGACGAACATTTCATCTTCTCTTCTTCCAACTCTTGGATTAACTCGTCTGTCTTGAGTGCCTCTGATTCACACTGAATGCCTGAATCATTCATTGCTTGAGTTCTGCTAGCCTGAGATGGTCTTCCTCCTGGATTCTGATTATCTGGGACTGTTTTTTTATTTAATAAAGCTTTCATGGTTGCAGGTTTGGCGGCTGAAAATAATGGTGCCCTCCATTAGTTGTTAAATTGATTAAAAGTTAGTCAAGGATTCTATTGCGTACTTCAGAGATTTGTCCCTTGGGAGAAATGAGCTCTGCTAATTTAAACTTATAAAGTTATTGAGAATTTTCCCAGAGATCAGATATAACACCTTATTAGTTAATAATTGTGAATTGTTAACATTAAAGTAAATTTAAAAAAGTTATTTAAGAAATTAGATATTGTTAACATTAAATTAAATTTTTAAAAAAGTTATTTAAGATATTAGATATTGTTAACATTAAATTAAATTTTTAAAAAAGTTATTTAAGATATTAGAGGGCACCACCATGGGCAGAGAGTGAATCGATGGTAAAAATCTTATTTTCCACAAAATAGGTGAATAATTCTAGGTAATGGGGTACTATATGGCTACCTAATTTGGAGCAGGGTTAGATCTGCTGACTATAGGAGGGGGGGAGAGGGGAGAGATCAGCTGATTTTGTACTGAAAAGGCTGGGGTACCCATATGGGGGGTGGGAGGGGGGGGCCCTGTGCATGGTTCTTTCTATGGTTAAGCACGCTCAGAAGATCAGCGTTTGGCTTTTTTCTGATACGACATGGGCGGCTGCGAGCGTTTAAACGCGCCTGAGGGCTTCAGATCCTCAAAACCGCAGTGCTCTCTATGAGCTTCCACCCATCGGGAAAAGCTGATACCGCTAGGGACAGAGGGACCCAGGGTTGGTTTGGGCATGTCCATTACCGTCCAGAAATGGTGACATTTCTGGATTAGAGACCGGACCACAGCGACCCCCTTATCAGTAAGATGCACACGGTCGTCCTTTAACATCTTTCCTCTCGAGACCCAGTCGTCGCGGTGACAATTATAAATTCAACTCAAGATAAAATAGAATAAAGTTTAATGGATTCTTGAATTATTTTTATTCTACATTTACTTTATTTTTTTTGGCAGAATTTAATATAAGTAATTTTGAAACATTCAGGGTGTCTGTAATCTGCTGGAAAGTGTCCGGAAGTACAAGGAGGAGGCCGCCTGGCTCCTGGAGAAGGAGAAGGTCAATCTCGAAGAGGTCAACGACTGCTTGGAGAAGGGGGAGCTCTTCGACATCTTCCTCCCTGAAGTTGACAAGCTACGCGCACGAGCCGACCAGCTCGAATGGTTGAAGGAGGTGAAGGAAGTCCTTGACGACCCAAGTGAGATCTCGACGGACATGTTGACCGGACTAGAGCAGCGAGGTTGCAACCTCAAACCTAGGCCGGAGGTTGAACAAGGATTGAGCCGACTGTGTGGTCTCCGGATGACAATGGACCAGTGGGAGGTACGAGCTAACAACTGCCTACAGGCCTCCCCTAAACCTTGCCTGGAGGAGGTGGAGAGGATGATTAGGGAAGGAGAGAATATATCTACAGGGCTACCGGCTTTAGAGAAACTCAAAGATGCAGTTAGGAAAGCCAAGGTTAGAAAATATTTCAATTTTATTACATAATAGAATAGCTCATGTAAAAGATGCATCATTTTCTAATTCGGTTTCGAGATTAATTTCTAGATTTTAACCTTTAATCAGATTTACTTCTCTAAGACTTGTATTTTATAACTGAATATATTACATAAAATATATCGTTTCTATAAAACTATGGAAAACGAGACGAATCTAGACAGATGTAAGTCTAGGCAAATCTATATGAATCGAGACAAAACGGCACAAAACGAGACAAAACGGCACAAAACGAGACAAAACGGCACAAAACGAAACAAAACGAGACAAACAAAGAAATCTAAATAAAACACAACAAAATGAAGTTAAAATGGAAATGAATTCAAAACAGTTTCGTATGTTTGTTAGGAATGGTGGAGTCGAGCTGAAAACCTGCAGAAGCCTGAGAACTATCCCTACCTGGACACCCTGGAGGCTCTGGTAGGGAAAGGACGACCTCTACCTATTCGTCTTGATCCTCTAGCTCAGTTAGAAACACAGGTTTTTGTTTTTTGTTAAATTATTCTTTTGTAATCCTGGGATTGAATTTAATGAATCTGAGAGGTCGCTAAACTATCTAATGTCTGAAACTCTCCTAAAAAATACAGAAATTTCTATAATCCAGGGACGGGGGTGGACTGTGGAGCCCCCTTAGCCCCCAACCACTAGCACTACTTCACTGTTTACAACTCAGAATATATTTATTTAATTTTTGATGGTGTAATGTTATGCACGATTCACATAGGCATATTAAAAAGCTTACTATTAGTAAGCGTTAAAATATATCTTTGTTTTAAACTCATCTTGGATGGGATTGGTCACACTCAATTGAAATTATAGCGATAGTCTCTTTAAGTGGGTTTTATGTTGTGTGAAAAATTATATTTTCTTCAAACATTTTGAACTCTGTTAAAATTAAATCTTTTTCTAAAGTTTCTTGGACAATTGACAAGAAAATTATTTTTGTTATTATCTTATAGCTTGCTAGCTGGAGGGCCCGGCGTAAAAAAATATGAGAAAAAAATATTTTTGAAAAATGGAAATTTTTGCCTAACCCATCCGCCATCAATGAGTGTCAACAACAAATTTCAGCCCATTCGGTTTGTCCTGTTTTATTACATAGACTAGTTTAAGGGCCCGGCGTTGCCTGTGAAGAGAAAAAATTTTTTAAAAAAATACTACGCAGAATATATATATACGCAGAATATATATATCTACGCAGAATATATATATACGAATGTCTTGTTTTATTATATAGATTAAAGCTTAAATGAAACAATGCATCATTATCAGGAATACATTTATCTGTTTAGGTCGCTGCTGCGCGCGCTTGGCGTGAACGAACTGCGCGCGTATTTCTGAAAAAGAACTCCCACTGTAATCTTCTGGAGGTGTTATCTCCCCGCCATGATATTGGTTGTGAGAAGAAGAGGAAGAAACGAACAGAAGATGGAAACTACAGACATCCGATATTCCTGGGTCTATCAGCTATACAGCTCTCCGATCCTCAGGTACAGGGTGTCCCAATAAACATGGGAATTAAATGACGACTTTTATATCGTCTTCGATCCATGTGACATTTTTTCATGAACACAATATAATGCAGTGTTCCAGTTTACCATCTAATACCGAAAACGCCTGATCTTGAGATTTTCAAAATGTATTCTACCATTTTTGTATCTTTAAAATCGACGGAGATATTGAAAAAAATTATACAAATTTCAATTTATTTAATGAATAAAATTGTCTGAATATCTTATATCTTCGGTCAATTTTTAAGATACAAGAAAGGTGTATCTAGGCTGTGTAACGTCTGACGAGCTTTTCAGACGTTACACAGCCTATTTTATATACTTTCTATGCATTAACANATATTAGATCATTTCCCTCTAAAGGCATTTCACAGATAAGAATAAGATATTTTTGTGATATGACAGTTCATAGACAGTTCATAGGCAGGTCTTAGGCAGTTCAAAGACATTCCATAAACAGTTCATAGACAGTTCATAGACAGTTCATAGGCAGGTCTTAGGCAGTTCAAAGACATTCCATAGACAGTTCATAGACAGTTCATAGACAGTTCATAGACAGTGCATATAAAGTCCATATACAATTCATAGACAGTTCATATACAGTTCATAGACAGTTCATTGACAATTTATAGACAGTTTATAGACAGTTCATAGACAGTTCATAGACAGTTCATAAACAGTTCATAGACAGTTCATAGACAGTTCATAGACAGTGCATAGACAGTGCATAGACAGTGCATAGACAGTGCATAGACAGTCCATAGACAGTCCATAGACAGTCCATAGACAGTTCATAGACAGTTTATAGACAGAAGTTCATAGACAGAAGTTCATAGACAGGGCATAGATAGTCTATAGACAATTCATAGACAGTTCATAGACAGAAGTTCATAGACAGTGTTAGACAGTCTATAGACAGTTCATAGACAGTTCATAGACAGTTCATAGACAGTGCATAGACAGTGCATAGACAGTGCATAGACAGTTTAAGTTCATAGACAGTTCATAGACAGTTCATAGACAGTGCATAGACAGTGCATAGACAGTTCATAGACAGTTCATAGACAGTTCATATACAGTTCATTGGCATTTCATAGACAGTTCATAGACAGACAGTTCGTAGACAGTGCATAGACAGTGCAGCGACAGTTTATAGACAGTTTATAGACAGTTTATAGACAGTTTATAGACAGTTTAAAGACAGTGCATATACAGTCCATATACAATCCACTTGGCAGTACATTGACAGTTCTTAATATTAATAATCACGGTCAATCCTTCAATCTTAGATTTCAGACTTGAGCTCCCTCCGTTTAAGTTCCAATAAATTAACCCTATTAAAAGCTGAGTGTAAATTTAGGAGTGGGAGTCAAGCCTTTGGCGGTCTGCTATGGACCCTTCTGTACACTCTCAGATTCCTAATGATTTTCAAGATGGTTTTTGAGTTCATAAACAGTTCTGTGTAGCTGTTTTTCATATTGTAGATAACTGATAATTCAATTAGCTTTAACCTCTGAAAAAGTAATCCTAATAATTCAAAGAACGCAATGAAATGAAAATTTATATTTGTTTTTTCTTTTCATCTGAACATCTCATTGACTGAGTTTCTAGAAGTGAATCAGATTAATATCAACAAGAAAAATCATTCGGCTTGGCCTTTAATAAACATTCATAGATGTATAATTGGATTTTATTTTAACATTTAAATTTGTCACTAGGTTTTGAATGAGATTTTAAAAATTGCAGGACTAGGGCTATTTTGAGATTATTGTTTCATAAAATGAATATTAATTAAATAAGTTGCCTTTAGTAAATACCGTAAACTATTTTCAAGGTAAAAGACGACTTTAAAGTCTTCCATAGATAAAAATTATTTTGGTTCATTTAGAATAGGACTGTATGGAACGGATTACAAGAATTACAAAGTAGTTTTAATTAACCGCGCGATTCAATGGTTGTAAATAATCAATGATAGAGACATCTAAAGTTTGATTTTAGGAGATCGTGAACGCATTCAAGCAAGCTGAACAGGCAGAGCTGCAGACAATGAAGGAAGTCAGAGTTAAGAACCAGAATACACTGAAGAAGNGGGGGGGGGGAACATTTCAAGAAAATTATTTAAAATATTATATTAGTTTTAGGAGGGTTTTAATGTAGATAGATATATAAAGTTTTTGCTGAAGTAAAGTACATGTATCTGTGAACGGAAAGAGTTTACAATTACAAATTGATATTTGATATTGTGTGGGAGTAGTTACTGAAATACTGATAATGGATAATTGATTGGTTGATTAAATTACTATAGTGGATAATTGATTGGTTGATTAAATGATTATAATGGATAATTGATTGGTTTATTAAATGATTATAATGGATAATTGATTAAATTATTATTATGGATAATTAATTGATTGATTGTAGGATAGAGAAATCTTAAATACGAGCTGAATAAATCATTAATTGATTGTAGGATGGATCATTATGCTTAAATATGAGTTGGATAATTGATTGTAGCATGGATTATAATGCTTGAATATGAGCTGGATAATTGATTGAGTGATTGTAGGATAAATTAATCTTGCCATGCTCGATATTACTTCCCTGGAAACACTACGCAAAGGAGCCTTGCAAAGAGCACTGAAGGATAACCATATTCAAGTAGCTATAAACAGTAAGGCATCCCTGTCTTCTCTGCTATGGATGTCTGACCTTGTGGATAGGTTTACTATACAAAGTCGTGTAAATTACTCCAATGCGTTCGGATCTCTCAGTAGATGTAGAGCAGTTGACGCTGGGTTGGGCAACCTCCGTCCCAATGTGCATGGGGCACCATACAAACAGTGTCCTTTGTTCCAGGAACTAGAGATTTGGCTAGCACTGAATGAATTCCATGTTGTAGTTGAATGCTCAAAGGTGGAATTCGCTAGACGTTACAAGGGTATCACAAGATACATGGAGACCCATGTATCTCTCTCTCGTCCCATAGGGATTGTGTTTAAGGACTTCTTAGGGATGGGGCCAGTGCTCACACAATTGCGGACAGAGCCATTGGTATTCATAGCGTCCTGGATAACTGGCTCATCCTAGTGGCTGATCTTTAAACAGGTATTTCTATTCTTACGTGTTAGACCTATAGTTGGCTATTGCAGGATGTGCATCCAACTTTATATGGTTCTGCCCGTTCCACTGGTAGCATCTTCCCATAGGATTATAGGAGCCGGAGGATACCGGAGCTCAGTGGAGTTGGCCCAGATGGCGGTCTGGGCTCTGCAATACGGGGGGGGGGGGGGTTCAGTTCCTTTCCTTATCTTATCTCATGAGCTGAATAAATGATTAATTGAGTGTAGGATGGATTAATGCTTGAATATGTGCTGAATAAATGATTAATTGATTGTATAATGGATTAATGCTTGAATATGAGCTGGATGATTGATTGATTGTAGAATGAATTAATGCTTGAAAGTGTACTATATAATTGATTGATTGTAGGATGGATTAATGCTTTAATAAGAGCTGGATAATTGATTAAATGATTTTAGGATGGATTAATACTTGAATATGAGCTGAATATTGATTGATTGATTGCTTGTAGGATGGATTAATGCTTGAATATGAGCTGGATAATTGATTAAATGATTGTAGGATGGATTAATGCTTGAATATGAGCTAAATATTGATTGATTAAATGATTGTAGGATGGATTAATGCTTGAATATGAGCTAAATATTGATTGACTGATCCATTGTAGGATGGATTAATGCTTGTATATGAGCTAAATATTGATTGATTTAATGATTGTAGGATGGATTAATGCTTCAATATGAGCTAAATGTTGATTGACTGATCGATTGTAGGATGGATTAATGCTTGAATATGAGCTAAATATTGATTGACTGATCGATTGTAGGATGGATTAATGCTTGAATATGAGCTGAATATTGATTGATTGTAGGATGAATTAATGCTTGAATATGAGCTGAAGATTGATTGATTGATTGATTGTAGGATGGATTAATGCTTGAATGTGAGCTATGTATGGACCAGTTTCCCCCGGGAAGTATCCCTCTGCCCCGTCTACCATCGGGAAAATCTAAACCAACCAGTCTCAGGCAAACAGATATGCAGTCATTACAACTTGTTATTTTTCTCATTTTTTCACACTAAATATATAAGCTCGAATAGTATAATGCATAAACTAAATATATAAACTCGTCAAGTCCTATCTCCGTTCAAAGAAAAGAAAATCAAACAAACTGTACAAGATAATTTATCTATATAATAATTCTCTTGGCATATATATATATATATATTTAGGCTGAAATTTCGACATTTTTTTTTAAATAAAAAAATTCCACGGCCAACACCGGGCACTTCAGCTAGTTTTTGAATAAAATTTCTCAATTTGGGTTTCTCAATAATTTAATGATGAAAAATGAATATTATTTGTGACTCAGAGATGTGAAATTTCTGTGTCCAAACTGCCTCCGATCTAGACGACCTAGGTAAGTTTTTTCATTTTATCGTTCCCCCCCCCCCCCCCCAACCAACTTCAGCTTGGCACGTTTTTGTCTCTCATTGAAAGTTTGTCGTTAAAGATCAATTAAAGTCGGAATTAAATTTTGTTAAATAGTTTGTTAAAGTTGCACAAAATGAATAATTAACTACTAGAAACAAAAAACAGCTGGTCAAGGGGCAATTTAAGAAACTTGTAATGAATCTATTTGTTTTTCTCAAAACAATTCTTGCAATTTCCATAAAAATAAGTTCAGGGTTATTCAATCATTATAAAATAAATTTTGAGCTGGAGGGTTAAGCGAGGTGCAAGTTTTACAGGAAAAAATATATGATCCATTGTAATCTATAAGATCTTACTTAAGATTTGATAAAGTTCAGTCAAATTAGCCATCTTAGATCTGGGGTATGTTTCTGAATTGATTAAGTATGAGTGGGGGTATTTGTATCACTAATGTTACATCGTCTCTTTGAATGTCCCCTCTACTGAACTTTTGTCCAACTAAGCTTCTGACCTACTGCAGTATCCGACCTACGACAGCTGTTTATTTGTATTCTTTGTGGGAAAGGTTAAAGACTATTTCTTTGCCAAGCGCTACGGCTAGGACATGCTAATGGGGCCGAGCGCCGTGACTTGGACGGACTAGGGGACCGGGCGCTGCGGCCACATATCAAACAGCAGCTGTGAAACCATGTGCAAGTATGTCAGAAGTGTGGGAGATACGCCATCTTCATTCACATTGATAATATATACAATATACACAATTACACATATATATTATAGATTAGAGACGATTCTATCCCTGCTGGTGAGTTTACAGAAGCTGACTGTGCGCCTACCAGAGGGAGAGGCGCTGCAGTGCTTAACCGAGCGCGCTATGGCTTGGCAGGTAAATTAAAAGTTTAATCAGACGTGTATTCAAGGGAGGACTATGGGGGGCTCAGCCCCCCTCTCTTGGATCAATAAACTGTATGGTTTTCAGTTTTTCTAAATAAGTGAGAAAAAAATAAGGGAAACCAAAAATAATCATAATCTTTTTTACAATAAAAACATCTTTCATTATTTATGTGTTAACCCTATATATCTCTGCTGGGTACTTGAAAACCAGGATATGCCCCCCCCCCCCCCTCATTACAGAAACACCCAGATCTTTGTTCTAGAATAGAGAATGTTCTCTGTAAACTTTACAATTCTTTAATTCTTCTTTTAGGATTTGTTTGAGTAAATCGGATTAACCATATTTTGATATTTAGTTTCCGGGTAAACTTTTCCACCATGTTATTTTCTTCTTTCTTTTCTGTAATAATTTGACTTCCATTTTTCCATTTTTAATTGTACAAACGGCCACTAGTGCAATTCATATATATATATATGCATATATATGAAATAAAATACAGAGATCGGATCTTCTGTGTTGAATATCGTTAATTTCGAACTCTTGATCTCGATAGCCAATGTGGACAGATATAAATTTGAGGATAAATGCTAGATCCGTCCAGTCAAGTTACCCCTGCAAGGGATATTGAAGAGGAATTTATTTAATATTGTATTAATATTCTATTTATTCGTACACAATTATAATGGTACAGTTTAAAAGCAGAGGAATGAGATATATAACATATAAAATATAGAATTAATATAAAGTCCAAAAAAATAATTTAGTTAGATTTTATATATATCGTCAATAATGTTAGCTATTTCATCATAATTAAATCCTAAAACATTTGGATTTGACCGGATTAATAGTGAATCTTTTAACAATGGAATTCTCCATGCATTTTCAGCCGAATTTGTGTAAATCATATTTGACTTTACTAGAGAGTTCAAGGACAGTTTATCTACATAGGTTTCATTTTCAATATTAGATAAATTCTTACATAATTTTGTTCTTTGGTAATTTTTGCATAAATCAAACAATAGCCGGATGCTGAGCTTGGGACTTTTACACATAGATTCGCAAAATGATACAGATCGGCTACTCAATATAGTTTTTAAATGAGTATGATCTCGGGATTCATAACTCATAATATAAAAGGAGAATTCAGGGGGTTTTTGAACATTTAAAAAAACCAAATATGGAAATATGCTATTAATTTATTAATTTTGTTCTATCAAGTAAAGTATATTCATGAAAATTATGTCCAAGTCTACCCTGTTGACAAGTGCATCCGTATCAACTCTTACATGGTGCAAATTCCATATTGCGAAGAATGTTACAAAGTTTAATAGATAATGATAGTGCATTCGATTAAATTAATTTTAAACTAAAAAGTTGTAGAAAAATATAAAATTGATTAGATAACTTTTATAATTAAGGTACATTAAGTTTAAACATAAACTAAGATTATCAGTTTATTTTTAGACTTGTGTTTAACTAAAGTAAGACCCATTAAACTGATTGAGAAGACAACTTCTAAGCAATCGTATTATTTGATTTTTTTTAAAACTATTAATTTTACTAGAAGCTTGGAATGTGGCTGTGTACAGTATACAGTTACACTGGAAAAATGTTTATGAACATTTTAAAATCAAAACTTACGATTAACTGAAGGCGTCTTTCTATTTCAAAGTTTTAAAGAAGACTGATTTATTTTCTAGGACCGCTCCCGAACTGTGTTGGCACGACCTGATATAGCAGCTGCGCTTAAGAAGCTCTCAATCCAATCTAAGTAAGTTTAAAGGGATAGTTTAACTTAATCAGAATCTCCCTTTTTGGATTATCATTCAGATGCAGCAAAGGAAAGAATTAGACCACTGTAAGAAATTTATGTATTCAGGGATGAAGGAAATGAAAGAATATAACCACTGTAAGAAATTTATGTATTCAGGGATGAAGGAAATGAAAGAATATAACCACTGTAAGAAATTTATGTATTCAGGGATGAAGGAAATGAAAG